TCTTCTTGACAGAGTTGATCCTTTTGGCCTCACTTAGAGAGGTACCCATGTCTGGAAGGCCAAGCTCACCTGGCACCCAATGTGAAGAGAATTAGAGCCCAGGAGCCACTTCCATGACATGGGTCACAAGGACCTTCCCCTGAGCAGCTCTGAGGTTACCCTGAGCCAAGGACAGCCACCCCAGGCTGAATTCCTGAGGTTCCCAGGACCCTCAAATGCATGAGGCAAGCTGGCCTTCCTGGGGATCTTGGCTGAGGGGGTAGCACAAGGCTGGTTATATGGTTATCAGACATGTGCCAGTAGCAGGGGTTCCAGAAAGCACCTGCTGCTTGTTCCCTAGGACTGAGGTGGGGATAGGCAGGAGAGGTGACACCTGTGCTGAGTGATGCCAGGGACAGCGGGAGCCAACAGGAGGGGCCTGGCCACCCTGGCCTACAGGGGGAGCCTGGAGGGCTGGTGTGAGCAGCCCAAGAATGTGGCTAGTGCTCGGAGGAGCACAGCTCTGCGTGCTGCTGCAAGAACTGGTCAGACCCCACTTCCTGGGAAGAGGATGGCCAGGCAGGGGCCTGAGGGTATGCAAGTCCAAACCTAATTCTGTGTTTGGGGAACAAAAGACCTGAGAGCACCGAAAGCACCTGCCACACATACTGCAGGAGGTGGGGAGAGGCCCAGGACACAGTGGCCTGCTGTCAGTGTCTCACCCTTGCCTTTGCCCTGCCTGTCTATCCCCACCCCCCCGCCATGCGACCTACTGCTTCATGGCCAGCAGCTTGGAGTCCATGCTCTCCTGCTTCCCCTTCATCAGCTGCACATCGGTCAGCAGCTTGGTGACACTGTCCTGGTGAATCTTTATGTCCTCGCTCTTCAGGGTGGACACCTGGGTCCACATAGAAGGGTCACTATGATGGCCGCCCCAGAAGAGGTGGTCTGGGACATGGGGGAAAGGGCAAAGGGGCTGCAGCCTGGAGGGGGCCATTAGGAAGAGGGCTTGGTGCAGTGAGGCCGGAGGATTTGGGGATGGGAAGGCTGCTACTTACGCTGGTCACCTTCCTCTTGATGTTCTCAAGGAGCTGTTCCTGTCCACGCAGGAAGCATGGATGCTGAAACTCAGTGTCGTCCCTCTCTGGCTTGACCAGGCCACCCTGCTCAATGTGCACCACCTTCCGGAAGCCATCTGCACATGATGGGGCAAGGGCAGCACTGCCTCAGGACTGGGGACCAGACCCCCCCACTCTAGCCCAGTCAAGCCCCACTGGTGGATGAAGGGAGGCTCCCCTCACACTCAGCACTGTCATCTCAGAGTCCCTGCCTGCAGGAGCTGGGCAGTCTGGGTCTAAGAGACCCCATGTCCCCACACAGATGTGGCCGTGGCTGGCTGAGGCTTCGTGAACTTTTCCCTGGGACCTCAGGTTCAGTCCCATGAGGACTGTTTTCCCTGGGGAAGAGGACACCTACCCCAGCCTGGGGATCAGGGATCAAAACCTGGTGGCTCTGTCCTTCACCACAGGCAGGGTCACTGTGCTGGCATCCTGCTGCCCCACCACGAAACCCAGAGGGCGGGGCACTCACACATGTTAAGCTGCCGCACGAAGCTGGCCATGTTGTTGTGCTTGAAGTACTTGGGCAGCACCTCCTTGGCAAACTGGCCCTGGTCGTACACATGGAAGCTGTTCCCACTCTGCCAGGAGACATGCGGGTGGAGTCACACTCATATCCTGTGGGGCTGAGGCCCTGGGATCCGTAGGGCTGGAGAAGGGTGAGGAGCCTCATCACAGTCAGGGAGCCCCCACCCCAGGGTCCTGGAGCTTCCCCAAGCCAAGTTTACATTCATGAAACACCACAGCCCTTCAGGCCCATTCTTTAGGGGAATCCCACTTTAGCTTTAATAAGCAAATTTACCCTAAGAACAGCTAAGACCCCAAATTAAGGCAGTCAAGAAAATGGGAACCTTATTTCAGTTATTCTGGAGGAAAAAACAGTGTGCTCAGACATGCAATCATTTTCATCTTGGCATCTGAGATGAGAAACAGACTATACAAAATCCCTACACTACTTGCTTCTTCCATTTCTTTCCACAAGGGGTGTCAGGGTGCGGACATGCAACCCCGTGAATGTATTAAGGACACGGGGCAGGCTCCCTGTGTTGGGGAAAGGAGTTAAAGATACTGGCAGGGAAAAGCCAGAATGATCCCTGCAGTGTTAATCCAGGACTGGAGCATTCCTTTCCCTTTCCCTTTCCTTTTCTCTTTTCTTTTTCCTTTCCCTTCCTCTTTCCCCTTCCCTTTCTTTTCTTTTTAAAAATATGTCTTTATTGATTTCAGAGAGAGAAAGGGAGAGGAAGAGATAGAAAAAAGAATGGGAGAGAGATACATTGATCGGTTACCTCCTGCATATGCCCCAGGGATCAAGCCTGCAATGGAGGTATGTGCCCTTGGCCGGAATTGAACCTGGGACCCTTCAGTCTGCAGGCCGATGATGCTCTAACCACTGAGCCAAACCAGCAAGGGTTCCATTGCTTTTCAGAGAGTGTGGGAGAGAGAGAAACATCAATGTGAGAGAGACACATTGGTTGCCTCCTGCACATGCCCCCACTGGGGCCAAGCCTGCAACCGAGGTAAATGCCCTTGGCTGGAATCGAACCCAGAAACCTTCAGTCTGCAGGTCGACGTTCTACCCACTGAGCAAACCGGCGAGGGAGAGATATCTAATTTTAAAACCTTGTGGCTGCCTAAGACAGTGGATAACAAATAGGCTCACCAGAAAACTTACAAGGAAGAGCTGGGGCCCAGTGGTTGAGCATCAACCTAGGATCCAGGAGATCAAGGTTTGATTCCTGGTCAGGGCACATGCCTGGGGGGTGGGCTTGAACCCCAGCATGGGGAGTGCAGGAGGCAGTCAATCAACGACTCATCATTGATGTTTCTATTTCTCCTTTCCTCTCTGAAATCAATAAAAATATGTTAAAAAAAAAAAAGGAAGAGCAGGGTAGAGATACCAAGAGAACTTTGAAAAGCTGCAGAAGCCACATGCATGTTTAGGGCTGTGTGCACACTCAGGGAACACCCTAGAAAGCCCTAAGCTCTCACCTCTGGCTGATCTGGAGACTCTGCATAAGCAGGAAGAAGAGGATGGAGTTGTCAACTGCCTGGCTGAGTGTTGAAGGCATGCCCGCAACACATACCCAGAGTCCCTTATCAGAGACTGGAAGATTTACTGGTTCCTAAAGGAAATTTCTGTCCCCTTCACTACCTGACCACTAAGGTAAGTGAACAAGGACTTCAGTGGTCACAAACAAAGAATATAAAAGGTGCAGATTTCCCTAGTCGGTTTGGCTCAGGAGTTAGGTGCATCGGCCCATGGACTGAAGAGTCTCAGGTTTGATTCCTGGTCAAGGGCATGTACCTGGGTTGCAGGCTCAATCCTGGCCAGGTCAGGGCATGTGGAGAGGCAACCACTGATGTTTCTCTCTCTCTGTGTCTCCCCTTCCCTTCCACTCTCTCTAAGAAATCAATGGAAAAAACATCCTTGGGTGAGGATTAACAAAACAAAAACAAAGTACAGTCCAGATTTAGTTCAGAAAAGTCAAATCGCAACAGCAACAGCAATAAATCCTAGGGATAAAAGGGGGGGCGGGATCTGATATCTAGAGTTTAATATATGCCACATTATGCTAATTAAAAGTCTAGTTTTCAACAAAAAATTATGAGACATGCAAAGAAACATGGTATGGCCCATACACAAGGGAAAAAAGCAATCAATAGAAACTGTCCCTAAGGAAGCTCAGATGTTTGACTTACTAGACAAAGACTTTAAGTCAGCTATTTCACATGTTTTCAAAGAACTAAACAAAACTGTATCTAAAGAAATAAAGGAAAGCATGACAGTATCTCACAGAATAGAGAAACAAAACAAATAAAAATGAACCAATACGAAATTCTGAAGTTAAAAAATATAGCAACTCAGATTTAAGATCTGAGCAGGAAGAAGGAATCAGCAAACATGAAGATACTCCAGTTGAGATTATCCAGTCTGAGGAACAGAAAGAAAAAACAAACAAAATGAACAGATCCTCAGAAGCACGTGGGACACTACCAAACCCCAACATACGCATAATGGGCATCCCAGGAGAGGAGAAAAAGGGTCAGAAAGAGTATCTGAAGAAATAATGGCCCCATACTCCCCAAATCTGAAAAATATTCAGGAAGCTAAACAAACTCCAAGTAGCGTAAACTCAAAGAAATTCACACCTAGACACTTTAGAGTCAAACTGCAGAAAGCAAAAGATCAAGAGAGAACCTGGAAAGCAGAATAGACTCATCATGCACAAGAAATCCTTAGTAAGATCAACAATTGGTTTCTACCAGCAACAGTGGAGGCCAGAAGGCAGTGGGGTTATATTAGAGGTGCTGAGCCTTGGTGTGCCTCAGTTTTTAGAGTGTCAGGCCAAATGCTGAAGGGTTGCAGGTTCAATTTCCAGTCAAGGGTATGTACCTAGATTGCAGTTTTGATGCCTGCATCAGGCAAGGCCCGTGCAGGAGGCAACCAATTGATGTGTCTCTGTTACAGTGATGTTTCTCTCTTTCCTCCCTCCCTCCTTCCCTCCCTCCCTCCCACTCTTTCACTAAAAAAAAAAAACCAAAACAAAAACCCCCCCAAAAACCCCAAAACTCAATAGAAAAAATATCCTCTGGTGAGGATTAACAACAAAAAATAAAGGTGCTGAAGCACTCTCCCTCCAGGGAGCACACCTGTGCTATTCCCTTCCCCCTCAAGCATGTATTTCCTGAACTCCAAGGGACCCCACAAGACTTGCAACCAGGGGAGCATTGGGCAGTTGCAGCTCATTTCAGGCTAACCCCCTGAACATGTCTCCAAGGTCCCCTTTTCTGACTTCTCAGTGAGCCAAAGCAGTCCAACCTAGGCTCTCCTGTTGCTTCTTCTATGCCCTTCTTTGTTTCACTGTCCTTAGTGTGTTTTTGCTGTGCTCAATAAATTCTTGCTTGCTTTTCTACAAATAAGTAAATAAATAAATAAATGTGGTAAAAGGGGGAAAAAACCCCTGTCAACCAAGAATTCTATACCCAACAAAACTAGCCTTAGGAAATGAAGGAGCAAGTTCCACTTCTGGGATGGCAGTGTGAGCAGACCCATTGAACCACTTCGAAGTAAAGCAAGCATAGCTTATTAAATTAACATAGTCTTTGGAATTGTCCCGAAGGCATATAACAACAGAAAAACATTTATTTATGAAAATCTTCTAAAACTCTTTAGGAACAGTGAGTCTAGCATTTGAGCCACAACCCACTCTCCCCTTGTCACACCAATCTGCCTTGATTGACACTACACTTTGAGGGGTATAGCCAAGAAGATGGGGACTACTCTCCCCTCAGTTTCCAATCAAGGCTGACTGTATCTCATGAGGGGGCGGGGCACAGCATTTCTAGTATTTCTCATCTGACCCAGCTCCAAGGTGAAGAGGCGAAATGGCTGGGGATTGCAACAAAGAGGTTGGGGGTCCCCTTCTTCATTTTGCCCCCACCCATAGAATAGAGGCTCTAACAAAGGCATGGCAGGCTGAGAATATTGGGGCTCCCATTACCCTCACTCAGCTAGCAGGTAGGACAGAGCATCCATGCCACAAGAGGCAAGCTGAGAAGACAAGAGGCTACTGCCCTGTCCAGCACCCAGAGTAGTAGTTCAGAGAGTTGGCTCAGGGGACAGGCAGTCCAAAGGAAGAGAGCTCTCTAAAGCTCTCCCCAAGGGGACTCACTTTATTTGAAACAGAGGGTGAGAAAGTTCAAGCCTAAGGGTGTTCTTGAAAACAATAGGTCCTCCAAATTAAGAGTAACAAGCTAAACCAGGGCCAGCTTGTTCACACAGAAAGGAGACAACTAAGAGCCCTCCTGGGCTCAGAGACCTCAAAAACTACCACTGCTCCAATTTAGTTTGGATCAGATTGCTGAACAATTTGTGCCCTAGGGCACTGTCAAAAACAACAGGACAGTAAGGCAGTAATTATAGAGTCTAAAGGCTGGTATAACATGAGGCAGTGAACTAAGAGTTCAAAGAAGGAGGAAATAGACCTCACTTAACAGACCAGCCCCGGCACAAAACAAATGAGCAAAAAACAACAAAAACAAGCTTAGGGGTGGGGAGGGTGGAAATCATCTAGAAGTACTACATTACCCAAAATGTAGTTTTTATTTTTTTGGTTGATTTGTTTTGAAGGGGAGGGGGGGGGGAGAGAAACATGGATTTGGAGATAGACCCTGAGCCCTGTGTTGTTTTTTATGCCCCTCACCCAAGGATCCATTCCCATTGATTTCAGAGAGGGAGAGGAGGAGGGAGAGAAATATTGGTATGAGAGAGACATCAACAGGCTGCTCTCCATACACACACCTGGACTGGGGACTGAACTTGCAACCTGAGTATGTGCCTGAAAGGGAATTGAACCAGTGACCTTCTGGTGTACAGGATGAGGCTCCAACCAACTGAGCCACCCAGCCAGGGCTTTTTTACTTTCTTAAGGTGGAAGCTTAGAAGTCATTTTTATTTCCTAATAGTCACTTCATTTCCTGCTAGGCACTGCTTTAGGTAGATCTCACATTTAGAGAACAGGCATTTGGTGGACTGCTGGGAAGGTCTGTGGCATAGGACATGGAGATCCTCTCAGATGGGAGATGAGGGAAGAAAATACAATTCCTTCTGGGGCTGTAACCTCCTCCTTAGTCTTGATGAAGGCACTCCCCAGGTGACATCTACCATCCATCTCCATGACTTAAACCACATCTTGCCTTGCTCCCAGGACAGACTGCTGAGCTCCACCTCTGTTAACTGGGCAACTCTACACAGCTGGCCATTAGGTACTCCCCCCAATACTTCTAAAAGGGAACATATAACCTACATCACATTTACCATTTTAATCACGAAGGTGAAATGATTTTGCCATAGAGTTGTTTACCACAAGCAAGGAATAGAAAACATTTTCCATCACCCCCCAAATTACACTTATGTTCCTCTGCAGTCAATCCCTCCCTCATCTCCAGGCCACCACTGATCAGACTTTTGAACCCATGGTATTAAGTTTTCCAGAATGTCATGTAAATGGAATCACAGAGTATATAGCCTTTTGTGTTTGGCACCTTTCACTGAGCCTAATGCTTTTGGGAGGTAGCCAGTGTTGCATGGGTAAGCTGCTGAGTAGCACTGCAGTCTGGTTATCCAGTCACCAGTTGGTGGCCACTGCGGTTCTGTTCTGTTTTGACTGTTATGAATAAAAGTGCTATCAGCATTTGTGTCTGGGTTTTTTCCTTCTAGAAGTTTTATTAGTTTTAGCTCTTACAGGTCTATCTCTGTCCCATTTATAGTTGTCTAACGTCACTCGGCATTGGTTATTACAGCTTTGTAGTAAGTCTTGAAATCACATGGTGTGAGTCTACCAACTTTGTTCTCCTTTGGGAAAAAAAGCTTGGCTATTCTCTGTCCTTTGCTTTTTCATATAAACTCTAAGATCAGCTTCTCAATACCTGTATAGATGCCTGCTAGGAGTTCACAGGGATTGTGCGGAGTCTATTCTCATCTTACCAATACTGAGTCTCTGCTTATGACCATGGCACTTCTCTCCACTTATCTGGGTCTTTGATTTTTCTTAGCAGTGTTTTGTAGTTGACCCCCAATGACCCCTACCTCTAGTTCACACCTGTACTGTCTCCTCCCATGATGTGCTGGGTTGTTCTGTGTGACAAGTAGCATCCAGCAGATGTGATGGCACTCAAGAACACACTGCAGCCTGGCTGGCGTGGCTCAGGAGTTGAGCATCGGCCTATGATCCAGGAGATAGTGGTTCGAGTCCCCGTTGGGGCACGTGCCCGGGTTACCAGCTCGATCCCCAGTAGGGGGCGTGCAGGAGGCAGCATCAATGAAACTCTCATCATTGATGTTTCTATCTCCCTCTCTCCCTCTCTCTGAAATTAATAAAGACATATTTAAAAACAAACAAACAAAAAAACACACTGCAAAGCTACTCTGGGCTCTGGCTCTCTTAGATTACTTGCTCTAAGTTGACCTGTTGTTGGCAGTCCGGAGTGTCCCATATACATATATACACATATATACACACACATATATGTATATATAACAGAATTGGTTCAACCATTGTCTAGCTCTTACTTTAAGTTTCTTGATGTCTTTGAAACTCAGTTTTCTTATTTACAAAATGGCCATTTGTCACCTCCCTGCATGGTTGTGGATGGAATAGAACTGATACACATAGAGCTCAGCCTCATGCTGCACATAAGGAGTTAACAAGGACAGCTGTGATACTGCTCACTGGTCATCACCGCAGCCAACCATTCGGGCTTAGGGAGGCACAGGGAGCCTCCAGCCTTGCAGAGTACCTCACATTCTGCTCCTGGAGCGCCATAACCTGGGGCACTCCTTCAGCACTTTGGGTCAAGTGCCAGATCACCAAAGGCGGGGCCCCCAGGACCTGCTGGGTCCTGCCAGTTGCCTGAGAATGGGCTCAGCAGGCTTTTGGGCCATAACAGGCTGAGCCAGGAAGGACGGGTGGACCTGCCTGCCACGGGAGCTCGGAAAATGGTCCATGGCCAGCTCTGAGTGCCCAGGCCAATTCTTTGAGTGGTCTCATGGGAAGACGGTGACCTAACTGCAGGGACCACTCTGCCCCAGACTCTCCAACCAGAGACCTGGCCTCTCAAGTGACCCTCTGACCACTGGCACTCACACGGACCACCTGGGTTGGACCCTGGCCTTGGTGACCTCCAGTCACTAAGACTCTGGGATTTCTCCCAGCCTCACACAACTGTTAGGGTCATTCCTACTTCCAAAGAGGAGAACTGCACTGACCAGGCTGGGACTAGGATGAGGCCCGAGAGACACCAGGGGCCAAAATTTAAGCAGGGCCTCCAAGTATAGGTGGATCTAAAAAGAAGTACCTCCTTAAACTGTCCCTGAGTGCCTCACCCTGGCCATGATCCCAAGCTACACAGACCAGGTAGGATTAAACGCTCCAGCTCCAGCTGGCTCTTCTCTCCACGAAGAACTGGCCAACAGGGCTTAGGGCTGCTGTGGCCACTGTGAGTGGAGGCTGTCACAGGCCTGATTGCTATCTGACTTTCCTGCGCAAAGGCTTTGACCAGGCTACAGACTGCGGGTCCTGGAAGTATGCCTGTAGGGCTCCACCTACATGTCTCACAATCTCTATAAGCACAAACAGCAAGCAGATTAAGGGGCAGGACAAATCATCCTAGTTGAATTAAGCTCAGACTACCCCAGAGTATCTCTGATGCCCCTCCCTGAACTGGGTAAGACTGTTCCCTGAGAGTTCAGAGAAAGAAAGAGGAGGAGGAAGGCAGGATAAAGGAAGAGATGATGTGCCCTTCTGATGGACGGTCAACTCAATAAAGCTGACTATGGCTACGTTAAAATAAACATAATAATAAATGAGGAGAAAACCATGGGGTCATTTCTCTTGGTCAGTAAAGTTCAAGGTCTAGAACAAGGGGATGGTGGTGATGGGACAGCCTGTGGGAAAGCACAAGGCGCTCTTTGGGACTTGTGTCGCCAATTAAGAAACAGGCACTGGGGAATGGAGAACACCTGCACAAAGATGGCACTGGAGCCAACAGAAAATGTCTCCAATGGGAACACTACATGATTTCTAGTCTCTTTATTCCCAAACACTCTTCAGGCAAAGCAGAGCAGAGCTTCAGCAGACAATCCAAGAGTGAGAGAGCCAGGCCTCCAGTCCAGACTTTTGTTTGGTCCTAAGAGCTTAAGATTATGAAAGGGAAGCACTTCAAAGAGTCTGAGAACCTCTGCCCTGCCTGCTGGCACACACATTTCGGCTCTCAGGAGGTAGGGCGCGACTAGGGAGCCTTTTTAGAGGCCACATATTTGCCCTGGGATTTGGCTCTAGCTTCCCGGGACACGACGTTACAGCTAGTATGTGAACAGCAGGTTTTCAGCTACAATTGCAGACAGTCTCTGATTTACCTCTGCAGACCGGAGCTGTTCGGTCTTGCAGGGTCAGACCATGTAAACAGGACTGCTGCCAGGCAACTGGGCACAGGGACGTAAATAAAGACGCCCAGTGAGGAACGAAAAGTAAAGCTGCTCTTGGAACCCCAGCTGTGGTATCTGGGCACAAGTTCGAGATCAACCCTAACTTCACGACGTCTTACTTTCTGTTTTCGCTCCTTTTTCTTTTTGCACGAGAGCAACGCCCTCGGACTCATGAGCTAAGTCCTGATGTTTCCCGAATAGCGGCCGACCACACAACTGGTAACTCATTTGGGAAAACAGAGAAGGCCACCTGGACACAACTTTCACTAGCGAACCTGGGTGCCGTTCAAAGGACAGACCCACCTCCGCAGCTGCCCAACAGGTAGCAAAAGCCCAGGAAAGGGAAGCACCCCTGCCCCCCAGGCAAACTTAGCGCGGACAGGAGCGAGCGGGGAGAGGGCCTCGGCCGCTTTTCCTCCCTCTGGGCCCTCCGCCCCCACACCGGACGGCCGAGGCAGGGGTCTGCCCTCACCGGGCTCCAGCAGATAAGCGCGTCGGTGTCCGGGTCGCTCACGAGCGTCCACAGCTTGGTCAGGAAGGCCGGGACGTTGCTGGGCCCCGCAGCGCCGGGGCCCATGGGCAGAT